ACACACACACACACACACACACACACACACACACACACACACACACACACACACACACGGTTCTGTTTAAATACATAATGAGTCACCAGATGACGATGAGCCCCATAGGACTATTTACTCAGTTTCTCCAAGGACAAAGGAACAAAAATGTCATTCATTCATTTCTTAACCATTTCCTGAGTACTTGGTATGTGTTAAGTGCCGGGGATGGAGTACAAAGGTAATCAAAACACTAAAGCCACTAGGAACTGGATTTACGATTTTGTCTATACCTTATGTATTTTTAAATAAGGCTTGGAGTTTTCCAGAAAAGAGCATTTGCAGAAAGGTTAAATCCAGGAGGGAGAATGTCGAGGTGATGTCGTGGGCAACCCTGCCTTTGGCTTGAATTAGACCATGAATTTTCTTACTACACGCTTGAGCTCGGCTTTACAAACCTGACATTTAAATGTCTGAATCTACTGTGAATGTAAAGTGAATGGATGCCTATTCAGTTTTGCGTACAGTTTCCGAGTCCTTGCTGTACGCCAGGCTCTGTTCTAGTCTCAGGGGACGTAGAAATGAAGATTAAGTTGTTCCTCCAGCATTTGCTCATAATTCAGGAAAAGGTCTAAATACCCGAACCCAGCGGGAGAGAAGCCTAGAGAAGGGCCAGGTGAGGCTCAAAGAGGAGCTGACATTGGGTCTGGGCTTTGAAGGGTGAGGATGCGTTTGTGAAATGGACAGGGGATGGGGGACACGTTCCCAGCCAAGGAGATAGCATTGGCCCAGGCCTGGAGGCAGGTGCTTTGGGAACGGGGAGGTGGGTGTGGCTGGAGTGTAGGGTTCAAGGAGAGACAGGGAGGACTGCCTGGGTGGGCCGACTCTCGCCATCCGCAGAAAGATCCAGAAGCCCCATTTCTCTCCCTAGTCCATGTCAGTGTACTGACCCACTCAGAATGAAGGATGGGGCAGAAAAACTTGAAACCATCAGAAAGGAGGGTGTGTACCGAGTAGGCAAGTCCAGAGAAAGTAATTAGGTAGTTCTTAAATTTCTCACCACCACCACCCCCCAAAAAAGGTGATAGACATGTTAACTAACCTTATTGTAGAAATAACTTCACAATCTATATGTATATGGAGTCATCAGGTTGTACACCTTAACTGACACACTTTTTTGTGTCAGTAAAGCTGGGGAAAATTTTAAAGAAAGGGTCTTGGCACTGACAGAAAAAGAAAGTAGATTTGTAGTTGCCGGGGGGCTGGGGGGAGGGGAGTATTGGGAGAGACTGATTAAATAGAGACAGGGTTTCTTTTTGGAGCAATACAAATGTTCTGGAATTAATGGTGATGGTTGTGCAACCTTGTGAATAGACTAAAAACCCCAACAACGTGTACACTTTAAAACGGTGAAATCTGTGGTGTATTACTTCTCAACTAAAAAACAAAACAAAACAAGACGTGGATGAAGCATGTCTGGCATCGACACGGTCGGGCTGTGGAACAACAGACAGGACCCTCCTCCCTCCTCCCTGCAGCCGCCGCATTGGGCGGCCCTCGCCTGTGCCAGGGGTCAGGCTGCTTGCGGGGAAGCTGCAGGGCAAGCCTCACCCCAGCCCAGGCTCCGCTCTGCCGGGCGCTCCACGGCCTGGGACCAGGCATTTCCTTCTCTGAACTGCGGAGAGGCTCCCAGGACGCTGGGGAGAGTCTCCTCAGTCCCTCTGAGCACTAATCCTGTGCCCACAACGAGCATCTAGCACCTCATCCTGGCTCCACGTAAGCCCCCAGGAATTGAGATCGAGGTGGACCCGAGTAGCAAGTAGCGCTCAAAGCCGTGGCCACAGCCAGAGTAGGTGCTGTTGTTTAAAAACATGCAATAGCTCATTTGATTCTTCCAGCACCACTGTGATGGAGGTATTACTATGATCTCCATTTTATGGGTGGGGAAACTGAGGCCCAGAGACGTTAAGCAACTTGTCCGAAGTCACACAGCAAGGAAGTGGGAGAGGCAAGACTGGAAATCAGGCTATCACGCTGTCCCCCAGCCCCCACCCCACTGCCATGCAGTCTGGACTTGAACCCCTGGGCAAGGGCGTCACTGAGAGGCTTGAACTTGGAAGTGGCACCCTGCCTACAGGAGGGTGGACGGGGTGGGGTTTACGGCCATTGTCCAAGAGGTGGCGGGTGTGTTTCCCGGGTCCTTCACAGAGTCATTCAGAAAACCAAATACTTGACAAAAATCCTGCAAGGGGGTGTCCAGGTCTGGGTGATTTGACTGTTTGTGCGCTTTACAACACCTTCTATCTGTCCCAGAAGCACCCTCGTGGCTCAGCCTGGCCCACTTCTGTGACTCTGGCCTCTCCAGGCTGATCTCTCGCCCAGACCCTGCCTGCCCCTCTCAGAGCCTCCTGGGGCTCCTGAGCTCCCCGAACTGCTGCCCCCCCCGCAGGCTCAGTGCCCCCGGGGAACCCAGCGGCGGCCCCCCAAGACGTCCGTGCACAACCCCCAGGACCTGTGAACATATCTCAGATCATGAGATTAAGGCTCTTGAGAGGAGAACCTAATCCTGGGTCATCGAGCGGGCCCCGAATCCAGCGAGCAGCGCCCTCATGGGAGACGCACAGGGAAGAGGGGGGTTGGCGGTGTGACCACCAGGGTGGAGAGACTGGCCTGGCCACAAGCCCAGGGACCCCCGGGGACTTCGAGGCTGGAGAAGGCAGGACTGTTGTCCCCTGCAGCCTCTGCAGGGAGAGTGGCCCTGTTGACACCTGGGTTTCAGACCTCTGGCCTCCAGAACTGAGAAACTACATGTTTTACGCCCCCAGTTTGTGGTTGTGCGGGCGGCCGGGAAACAGTGCCTTGCACATTGCTTTCCTCCCTGCGCTGCCCCTGCCCTCCCTGGGGATGTCCCACTTGGTCCACAGCCTCCCAGCAGTGGCCCCTCTGGTGGGTCCACTGCTCCACCTAAACACTCATCCCTAAGCTTCCGCTGGGTGCGCTGCAGGCTTGTGCACCCACATTCCCCGAGTCCTTCCCTGGGTCAGGTGCCTTTTGGACACCCACACACACTAAAACTGCAAAGTCCCCGTGAAAAGCCAGAACACAAAAAAGCAAGCAGGCAGCGCCGACTGTCCACTGCTGTTTCTGTTGGACCACGGGTCCTTCTCGTCCCTGTCCTCTTCGGTTCACAGAGCCTTTGAGGGCAGGAGGGGTACACATGGGGTCCAGGGAGGCCCACCCTGCAGCTCCGTGTGGGATTCCAACCACAGTGCGCGTGTGTGTGGCCTGTGCTGGGGTCAGTAAAATGCTGGCCCCTGAGACGGGGACAAAGCCACTTCCTCCTGGAAGCACACAGGGTTTCTCCTGACCCGTGAGCTCAGACCAGGGACTAACCCAGGCTGGCACTTGAGCAGATTCCAACGACACTTCCTCACCTGCTGCAGGAAGTGTCCAAGGGCCCCGCGGGGAGGCTCCTGGGGTTCCACATAAGAAACCCGGCACACACAGACATGCAGTATCACTGCCTCTCTGCTGTGATTTAAAGGCCTTTTCCGGAAAGATGCTGGCAGCCGGGGCCAGGGCCTGTGGCAGGGGCCAGCACCCGGGACACCTGCCTTGCCCAGGCTGGCCAGGGGTGGTGTCTGCCAAGATCCTGGGTCCTGCCAGGTTGCCCTGCAGTCAGAGGCCCACCTGCACCCTGCTGGGGAGCTGGGGCAAGTGTAGGAATCCAATGACCTCATGTGTCAAGGGCGTGGGGCCCTCCTGGGGATTTGGAATTGGGGCCACCCAGGGCCAGGTTCCTGGGCTGGGCTGCAGGCTCAAGGCACAGGCGTGCACTGGCTACTCCACTATCTCCGTGTACCCCCTGCGGTTCTGGGGGAGGGGAGGCACGTTCCGGTGGTTCTCAGTTGGCGGCCTCAGCCTTCAGCTGTGCAACTGGGGTGTGGAAGTAGGACTTCGGGAACCCCCTACTCTGTGCCAGAGCAGGGCCCGAAACAGGTGCCGGCAAGGTAGCAATTCCCCAGCAGCGACCTGCCTCCAGCGCCTGGTCTTGCTCCCACGCCACGCGCGGTGTCTCATCTGGGCAGTCCCCGCATCCGGGCTGGCCCCAGGTCCGCAAAACGACGCCCTAATCTGGGCAGCTGCGACAGCGGCTGGAACCCCCCGCCCTTCATCCCCCGCCCCCCCCCCCCGCCGCGACCTGGATGCTCCAGGCTGCGGCTGCAGTGAGGGGACCCCTGCTTCCTCTTCCGAACAGACCAGAGAAGCCTTTCCCTCTCCCTCCAACGCGGCGCAGCGCGCCAAGCGCTCCCTCTGCCCCGAATACCCAACCCTCCGGCTGCCCCGGGGCGTCCTCCCAGTCCGGGCGCCTTGCCCCGCTCAGGGGAGCGCTTCCCCCACGTCCCGAAGCCTCCCTCCCTCCATTCGCATCCGCGCCCCCTTGCCGCGGGCACGCCCTCTTTCCGGGGCCCCCTCTCCAGCCCAGCCGCGCGCCACGGGGCCGCTCCGGTGCCCCCCACTCCGGGGGACCAATCCATCCCTCGGCTCGCCCCCTTCCCGCCGCGAGGCGCCGCGCCCCCCCCCCCCCGTTCCCCCCCCCCCCCCCCCCCCCGCCCGCCACTCGCCGCCGCCGCCGCGAGCCTCGGGTCCGGGCGCGCCCCCCGCAGCCGGGACGGGCGCGGGTCCCCGGGGAGCGCTCCTTTGTGCGGCCCCGCGCGCTGCGTCAGGGCGGAGTTGCCGCCGCCGCCACACGCGCGCACTCTCCCGCGCACGGGCGGCCCCGGGGGCGGCGGGAAGGGAGGCGGCGAGCGGGAGGAGGGAGCGGCCGCGAGCCCATTCGCTCGGCTCCCCCGCCCGGCCCCGCGCGGCGCCGCCTCCGCCATTGCTGCGCGCGGGAGCGGCCGACGCGGAGGCTCGCTGCGCGCTCGGAGCCAGACCTGCGAGCGGGCGTGGGTGAGTGCCGCCCGCGGGCCCGAGCCTTCCGCCCCGAGGCGGGGGCCACGGCCGCCCGGCGCCCCGGTGGTGGTGGGGGGGGGACGGGGGAAGGGGCGCTCCGCGCGGGTCCCCGGCGCCGGGACGGGGCGCGCCCCCTCCCCGGCCGCGGTGCGCCCCTGAGCCCGGCGCTCGGGTCCCGCGGGGTGGGGGGGAGGGCCTGGGACATTCACCCCCCTCTCCACCCCGCCCCAGTCCCGGGCGGCGACCGCCGCGTCCTCCCGACCCCTCCTCCCCGGAGGCCAAGCGGGGGCCGGCGAGCTCGCGGTGACTCCCGCCCGGCCCTCCCTCGCAGGCGGCAGCCTCGGGTCTCCCGGAACGATGGTGAAGTTGGGGAACAATTTCGCGGAGAAGGGCACCAAGCAGCCGCTGCTGGAGGATGGCTTCGACACCATCCCCCTGATGACGCCCCTCGATGTCAATCAGCTGCAGTTCCCGCCCCCGGACAAGGTGAGAGCCCCCCGGCACCCCCGCGCTGCCTGGTGCGCACCCCAAGTCTCGGGCGGCGGCCGCAACAAAGACGCGCGGCGTGCGCTGGGGATGGGAAGTGGGGGCGAGCTCGGGCGGCGGGAGGAAGCCCCCCCCGCCCCCCGGGAGGACAGCGTGCCCGCGCGCGGGATTCCGGATCGGCAGACAGCTCGGTCCTGACAAGGGAGCGCAGTCGGGGGAAGGTCCCCTCTCGATTTTCCTGGGAGTCCAGTCCGAGAGGTATCCCTGGCTCCACCGCGGCAGCCCCCCCCCAGCCCTGCTCCTCCCCCCCCCTGCCCCACGGTAGCAGGGGGCTGTGGGTCGGGGGTGAGACTTGGGGCGCGGCCGCCCGGTGTGCCCGCCCAGGTGATGCGGTTTCAGCCCGGTTTGCCCCGTGGCGGTGGGGAGGCCCCTCTCCTGGGTCCGATGGACCCTCGTTGAGGGGCTGGCTTCCCATCCTCGCCCTCCCCGCCTGCCCCTCCCAGACTGGCTGTAAGATGCTGCAGGGAGTCTGTTCTGACTGTGAGCTTCCTTCCTCTCTTTGTTCCTTTTGTGAAATCTTGAAGTAAGTGCTCTCTGCTAGCTGGGTATTAGTGTAACTGGAGACAACCATTCATCATCCTTTCCCCAAAGTGGGTTTTTCTTTTCTGAATTTAGAGTCCCTTTTCTTGAGTACAGTATCCAATCAAGTAGTTTCTGTATGTGGAGGATAATCTTTTCAAGAGTTAACTTTTGAAAAGGTAAATGCGATGATTTAAAGTCTCGACAATTGTATTGCACAACTCAAACCTAAAATACTATACACAGCATCCGTTCTGACCACCTTGCTGCCGCCTTAAAAACCACCGCGGCCGCGAGTAAGCTCGTTCTAGTTCCCGAAGTGCGTTTACATTTATTGTCTCATTTAGCCCTGGCGAGGACGTTCTGACTCAGGTCTTTGTCTTTTATTCCGGCATGTTGGTGACTGCTGACCACCGGATGGGGATGGGGGGATATCTAGGCAGCGATGGGGCCTTCCCTTCTGGAAGATTCCTTTATTCCCATGTGGACCCTTTGACTTACTCAGCCCTCTAGAGTGGTTTCCATCCCCCCAGGTCCGTTGTCTGTGTTGTGGGTGGGGGGGCAGGGGCAGGAGTGTCGGCCCGGCAGCAGGTGTTTCGGTTCAGGAAGAGGATTGACTTGGACACACGTGTGCACCCAGGCCACGTGGGGCCACTTTGGGGGCACTGAGGGTCCGGGGGAGGCTTGGGGGGAGGGGTGGGGCAGGGCTGCCTCCCCTGGCGCATCCCCTTCACTGTCTGGGCCGGTGGACTTGCTGGGCTAGCTCGGTCGGGGGCGGGGGGCTGCCCCCACCTTCCGCTCCCGCCTCAGCTCAAGAGTGGTGGCGGCCTGTGCCAGGAACGCTGTGTCCCAGGGCAGCACCTCTGTCAGGTGACTCCCTCCGCTCAGCCCGAGCCGCCTCTTTTGCCCTCAGTCTGTTCCGTTCCAGCATTGTCCGGCACACAGTTGGCTTATAGCAGGGAGGGGGATTTCAGGCAGGGGTGAAATTCTGGCCAACCAACTGGGCATTTAGAAGTAGTCTAGGTAGGTCCGAAAGGTAATGAGTCTCCCATCCCTGGGAATATTCAAGGCAAAGGGAGGGAACTGGCAGGGATGGGTTGGAACCAGTGGTTGAGTTGGAAGATTTCTGAGGTCACGGATGAGAAGACTAAGTCTCAGAGAGTTCACGGGATGGGTCCAAGGTCACCGCCGAAGGCCACAATCCCCCCCCACCCCCCCCACCCCCCCACAGTGCAGAAGCTTCTGGCATGGGCCACACGTTCCATCCTGCTTGGGACGCGACCTCTCACGCGAGACCTCACTTAACCGGAACAAGAGCGCTGTGTGGCTCACAGGCAGGGATCGGGGAGGTGATGTCACCTGTCCCAGGTGCCGTGGCCGCTGGGGTCAGGTAACCCGTCGGGGTCGTAAGTGGTGCTCAGAGCGTGTACCGAGTGCCGCGGTTCGACAGTGACAGTGGTCATGGAGCTCGCAAGGCCCGGGCCGCTCTCACCTGACATTTGTCCAGTAACTTTACTGATATTGCCCCCGCTTTACAGATGTGGAGATAGAGGGTCTAGTCCAAGGTCACCGAGCGTGTTAGTGGCAGAGGCAGGTGAATCCAGGCCCGGAGCATATTGACCGTGTTCCCACTGCGCTGAGCGTTGTACGGATTGCCCCCTCCTCCCTGCAGCCGGGTGAGATAGGCCCTGTGCCCATTTCACGGGCCAGGACACTGAGGTTCCGAGTGGCCAGGCAGGTGCTCAAGGTCACACAGCGAGTCAGGGACAGTTGGGATTTGAGGACAGTAGGGTGATGCACAGATGCTGCCTCCAGAGCTGGGGTGGGGGCACCCACAGTCACAGTAGGCATATCCGCCCTCTTGGCATCCCGGGAGCCGCGTGCATGGAAGGGACCGGAGGAGGGAAGGCATGAGTCTGATTACAGTTCTGTGGCCCTTGGATCACTTTTCGGTGGCGGCTGGCACGGGCCGCTTTCTCTCCCGGGGCTGGCTCCAGGTCACAGCTCGGTCCGAGAGCCCCTGTGGAGGCCCACGCGGGGCCCACCATCCTGACTCGCTGCGTTCTGCGAGGTCTGCCCTGGGGCCCACAGTCACGGAGAGCACCGGATGCAAACCTCTCTTTTTCCTCTCTCTCTCTCTCTCTCTCTCTCTCAATCTTGGCTGGGGGGTGGGGGAGAGCGTGGGGGTGGCTGGTGCTCTGCAGTCCAGCTGCCGCTTCCTGGCTCCTGGAAGCTGGGGGTGGCGAGCGGGGACTGGAGATGGGCAACCCCATGATGCCTCCCTGTGCAGCTCGGACAGCGCAGTAAACTGGCCCTGGCTTCAGGCGAGAGGAGGAAAGGGCTGTGAGCCTCCGAGGGAGGAGGCTGGACGGGGCTCATCGAGAGCTGCTGGGGATGCAGGGAAGGGTGTGTACGGGGCAGAGCAGGGCAGGTGCCTGGGTGGAGAAACCTCTCCCAGTTCGCGGTAGAGAGCGGAGGGAAGACGAGCCGGGAGACCCTCTGGGGGCCATTGCAGGGGCAGGAGGGGGGAGGCTGGCGGGGTCAGGGCTGAGATGCGAGATGCATTTCCTTGAAGGCCTGCCGCTGCTCCTTCCTGACCCGCCTCGTCTCTCCCCTCGCTCTGCCCATGGCGGAAACCGAGCGCACTCCTCGGCCACCGTGTCGGGGGTTAGCCCTGGCACCCACTGGCTGGGTGGCCTTTGGCCGACGAGCTTCACTTCTCTGGCCCGGAGTTACTGTCTTTCCCTCCTGGGGCTGCTCTCAGGATTATTCACGGGCCATTTCTCTCAAAGTCCTCGCACCGAGATGTCCAACAAAGGGTGGCTGTTCACATTCTTTTTGTGACACACCTGTGGGCGAAATGGTGACTTGTCCTCACCGGGCAGGTGTGTCCGCGCGCATCTGGCTGCGCTGCTGACGCTTTGCTTCCCTGTTTCCCGGACCAGGTGGTTGTGAAAACGAAGACCGAGTACGAGCCTGACCGCAAGAAGGGCAAAGCGCGCCCTCCCAAGATAGCGGAGTTCACCGTCAGCATCACTGAGGGGGTCACCGAGAGGTTCAAGGTGAGCGGCCCTGGATGGGAAAGATGCTGCTTTGGTGTCCAGGGCGTCGGGGGGGCGGGGGGGTGCCACGCTGGCCCCTGGAGTGACGGGAACAGGGCCCACCCCAGCTGTGCAAAACCCGCCCCGTGCCTTTGCAAATTCCTTCTTTATTTCCTTCATCTTCCAAAAGGACCACACATAACTTGGCGGGGGCTGTTTTTGTGTTTAAAAAATTTTTAATTTTAATTTAGTATTTTTTAAAATTCCGGCACAATGAGCATGCAGTGTTACGCGATTTTCGGGGGCACAGTATAGCGATTGAACGGTTCTGTCCATTTCCCAGTGCTCGCCCCGGTTCGCACGCTCTTCATCCCCTTCGCCGACTTCACCCCTCCCCCCGCCCCCCCCCCGGGTTCTAGAGAACAAGCCGCCCAGTTTGTTCTCTAGAGTGAAGAGTCTCACTTAGTGGGAAAACCCACCCCCAAAACTTTCTCTTAGACAACGGTTACGGGCAGGTGAACAGTCACTTTACCAGACTTTCCGAAGGAAGCAGGCTCACACAGAGGTAAGGCGGCCCACTTATTACCTGCAAGACCCGGTTCGGGGCCGCCTCCTTGTTCCAGCTGAGCTCAGGGAGCCTCCCCAGAGGTCAGGACTATCCGGACAACCCATCTTGCAGACGGGGAAGTTGAGGTGCAGAGAAGTCACGGCCGTCCAGGCTCCCGGGGCCTGTGCTCGGCCTCCACCCTTCAGCAGCCCTGGCGTGATGTGGAGGTGCGGCGCTTGGCTGGCCGGTGCCCTGTGCCCGGGCCCCTGGGGGCACTCATTCGTGGTCGGGGAGGCCTTGCTCTGGACGGCTCTCCAGGGAGGAAGAGCTGCTGAAAGGGGCAGGGTTCCAGCCAGGCCAGGGGTGGAGCTGTCCCCAGCGTCAGGTGGCCTCGGAGGGTGGAGACAGCTGCGTTGGTTGAGGAGCAAGTCAGGATGCTGATCTTCTGGAAACTTGGTCTTTGAGAAACGCGGGGGACGAGAAAACAGTGGCCCTCACTCACCCAGATTCAAAGGGGTGATTTGAGAGACCTTGCGGAGTGGCCGTGGCTGCCTCTCTGGTGGCTGTGTGTGTGGCTGTGTGAGCAGCTTGCGGGTGTCTGGGTGCACAGACGCTGGGACCCCCGACCCCTGCAGTCCCCCAAAGCACCTGTGCACTCAGCGTCCCGTTCGTGTCATGAAAACCCTGGGCACTGGTTACTAGCTGCAAGTGAAGCTCACAGAGCTGAGGTGACTTCGTGGGCCAAGTAGGGAGGCCCAGAGTGTGCCGTGACTCTGAATCCCTCCTTGGCATCGCTCCAGCCTGCCCCACGGGCTGGAGAAACACGGTGCAGGGCCTGCCGGGCCGGCGGACCCCTCTGAGCCGCCATCTTTTGTGTCTGCGGGGTGTTCACCCGTGTGACTTATCTGCCCCGAGAGGCGGGCACGTCTGGTAGAACCCCCTTTCTAGCGGCAGGATTGAGGTGCAGAGAGTCTGGGGTTCCTGCTGCTGGTATGAGGATGGTGTACGGGCTGAGATGCTCCTCGGGTGGCTCCTGGCTGGGCAGTCTGTATGTGTCATTAAGTTCACGGCCAGGACCAGATTGGATTGACCCAAGATCAATCCGTCTTCCGCTCTGACCAGCCGGCTTCGCGTGTCTTCTCTGCGGCTGCTCGGATGACCTGCATTCCCCGTGCCCTGGGGATCACCTCCTGGCTGAGGCAGAAGTGACCTCAATTTCAAGGTCATCCTAGCCATCATTCTGATGGCTGACACCATCTGGGTTTCTCATGCCTGATTTGACCTTTGCCCTTCTCAGCCCTGGCATTTTAGGTCCCCCCAGAGTGGGGTGCTACCTTTCATCCTTTGGGGTCCATTGTGTGCCAGGCTCTGTCCCCCAGCTCCGGTGTCCTTCGTTTGTGTTTTTCCCGCACGCTCACCTGTTACGGGTCCCCAGGGCGCCCGCTGAAGGCATGGGGGACGCACATTGGCCACCAGGGCTCTCGGCAGCATTGGTGTGGTTACCTGGCTCCAGGTGCCCAGAAGCCGAGGGCTCAGAACATCTGAGCCCGTCCCTGTGGACGGGGCTGTGGTGGCAGAACCCTGCCTCACCTCTGCCCCCACCTCGTGGGGGATGTCCAAGAAGGTGATATATACAGTAGGCGCTCAGTAGGGCACTGCATCACAGTGAGCCCATTCCCTAGTCTTATAACTGAAACCTTCCGGGCACGTTCATATGCTTAGCCTCCGTGGCCTCCTTAGTGTTCACAACCACGCTGAAGGGGGCGGCGCGGAGGCTTTAGAGTCCCAGGTGGTCTCGAGGGGCTGGGGGGCTTCTGATTGGTCCGAGCCTCCGAGGCCAGTGCCTTTCCACCCCCGCTTCCCCCGGCCTGCCACACACACCTCCGCACAGGCCCGCCTTCCAGCTCCTTCCAGGGCCAGCTCAGCCACCAACTCCTCCACGAAGCCTCCGGGGATTGACCTCACCCTCCTGGGGCCTCTGATGTCCTTTGTTAGGAGCAGTAACAGGATGAAAACCGGGAGTGCTCCCATGAGCCAGACACCGGGTCAAGCTCATGAGACTTCCCAGCTCACTTAATCCTTGTAAAAAACCTCGTGAAGTGTGCCCTGTCGTCCCCGTTGCACAGTGGAGGGGAAACTGAGGCAGAGAGCTTGGCCAGGGGCAGCCTGCACCTGGCTGTGACACCCGAGGTGATGTGGCTTCCCCCCTGGGAAACATGTTTACATGGGCAGCTCCCCTCTCCAGGCAGCCCATGTTGCTGCTGTTTCCATTTTTTTTTTTTTTAGAGATTTTATTTATTTATCTTAGAGAGGGGGTGGGGCAGAGAGAAAGAATTCCAAGCAGATTCTGTGCTGAGCATGGAGCCTGACCTGGGAGCTCGATCTCACAACCTGAGCCAAAATCAGGAGTCGCCCGCTCAACCGACTGAACCCCCCAGTGGCCCCTGGACTACTGTGCATCTAAGAATCCTTTGCCTTTGTTGATTTGAAGCCCCTCCTGGTGAACCTCTGCCTGGGGCCCTCCATCTGTCTCCTGAGCCACACAGAACACAAGTCAGCCTCCTTCCCAGCAGCCACGTACTTGAGTCTTCTCCGGCGTAAGCCTCACTTTCCTCTGGTCTCTTCCTTCATGTCACAGCATCCGGGCTCCCCCTGTGAGGGGCCCAGGCTTCTCTTCAGGTGTGACCAGGAGTCCTGGTGAGGTCCGGTGGGGCGGCCTCTCTCTGCCAGCCAGGATAAGAGCCTGTCCTCTCTGGGGACGTCCAGGCACCTCCAGCTTGATGAGTCACTGGGTGACTAGCCGTGCTGCTGGCCTGGAGTACGTGGTGACTTGGGGAGGCTTCCAGGGTCTGCCTGGGGGACCCTCGCTTGTCGAAGAAGGCAGCTCCCAATAGAGCCCTCTCTCTAGGCCACGTGTGGGTGTAAGCCCTTTCCAGGTGTTAACTCACCAGTTCCCCGCCCGGATGGGCAGACGACCCCCAAGGTCACAGTCAGTGGCAGAGCGTGAGCTGAACAGGGTGGCCTGGCCCACTTGACTGGGATGCCCGTGGGCCAGACTCACACAGCTGAATGCCCCGCGTTCTGTGGACACGTCAGGCTTTTGTGCCAACACCCTTCTGAGCGGGGAAGGAGATGTACCTGGTTCCCCATGCACCTGCCGCGGGGTCTGTGCCTGAGAGGCGGCCCCCAGAGCACTGTTCCTCTAAGTGTGGGACCGCTAGCACCGAAATCACCAGAAGTTTGATTTTTTTAATTTTTTTTTAAGATTTATTTATTTATTTGAGAGAGAGAATGAGATAGAGAGAGAGAACATGAGAGGGGGGAGGGTCAGAGGGAGAAGCAGACTCCCTGCTGAGCAGGGAGCCCGATGCGGGACTCGATCCCGGGACTCCAGGACCATGGCCTGAGCCGAAGGCAGTCGCTTAACCGACTGAGCCACCCAGGCGCCCAGAAGTTTGATTTTTAACAGAGGAACCCAGGACCCTGGGAACGCGCACTGTGATGAGCTCTCCAGGTGATATACTGAGTTTGTGGATAGAGGTGCATCCTAGCGCAGGGGCAGGGCAGGCTCAGGAGGGCTGATGCCTTTTGGAAATGCCAAGGGCGTTCACCCTTCTGGAATGTTCTCCCAGCCTTTTATCGCCCAATTATGTGTCTGGCATCTTTGAATGGAGCACCCAATAGGGCATGTTTGTCCTGTGCGGCAGTAGCCGGCTGAGGGCTGGGGAGCGAACCTGTGACGGGAGGCGGGGGGGGGGGGGGGTGGAGGGGGGAGATCTGCCTCCCCCGAGGCCGCACTGGGGGCTCCGTCACAGCTTTGGTCTGGCCAGAACCTCTTCCGGGCAGCTTCCATGTGACGCCCAGCCCGGCCGTTCCTCGGCCCTTCTCATTTCTGTGCGTGAACTGCAGGGATGAAGCCGTCTCTTTCTGGCTGTTGAAGCAACAAGTAAATAACGCGTCCCCCTTTGTCTCTAATTTGTGCACTTCAGGAGCAAGGAGTTGGCTGCTTTGCATCTCCTCTTTATATACCTTTGGATGGCATCCTTGAGATGAGATGTCTTTTTGGATGTTACTTTACGGTTATCGCTCGGGGATGAATCTCTTGGCTCTGAGGTTGCTAGGCTGGTTGCTAGGTAACCGCTGATGGGGAGAGGGTTTTGTAAGACTCCGCCACACTGGGATTGCTGGATGAATCACCCAGCAGCGTCAGAAGCCGAGGCTTCCGAAGAGCTTAGTGTCAACGAGGAAAAAGTGCTCGTTTAATTAATTGGAGGTGGATTTATGCTGAGAATCAACACAGGTTGAGATGTTTCTCAAACTGAGTAAACCTAAACATTCTTCCAGTGGCGCGGTCCCGCTCCCCCCGCTCCGGGGCAGAGCGGAGTGTCAGGGTGTGGCTGGGGCTGCTGCTGAGGGTGCCCTCCCATCGCAGAAGCTGGAGGGGCCATAATTAGGCAGATTAAAGGAAGGCTCC